CTACAACACCAAAGGTACCTTCTCCAAGGAAAGCTTCTATCTTGCAGTGCTTTCCCAAAATGCTCCCTTCAGATATTTCACGATCATCTTGCAAGAAGGATTTGTTGGCTGACATGTTCAAATGTTCTTGTTGCGCAAGTTCACCTGAGTTTTGGAAACTGCAGCTGATTTTGTCTGGTCTTTCTCTTTTCCAATTTGAAGGCTGCTGAGAGACCACAAGGTTTTGTCCCTCTCTGCTACTCATTTTAATGCAGGAGGAACTCTTAGAGAGGCCATGGTCAAAAAAGGGATGCTTGAGAACCTCCAAGGGTTTGATGCGCTGGTTTGCATCCAAGGCCAACATCCGTTGACTAAAAAACTAGCTAAAAAGCTATGACCACCATTTTTAACGAGTTACCAATATGCGAGATGAATCAGTGAAGTCTAATTTTATTTCCTCCCCAGTTTATTGTTATCTATGAAAACTTGGAACAAAGAAGAAAAACTTTTTGGGAATTCCTAAGTCAAAATTTCAATTAATTATTTTAAAGTGTGTACTTAAAAACTAAAAATTTTAAGTTATCTTATTATTTTTTTTAAACAATTCGATAGTACGTCACTTTTTTTTTTACACATGGATGGCAAAAAAGACTATTTTCAGTGCTTCTTTAATCTATCGTTCAGTCTTCGAAGCAATGGAGTGCTCCATCTTTCTGCACATACTATCTTTGGTCGGCTCCCGCCCCTGACGTTTCCCTCAGCCGTTGGACAGGCGGCACGCACGCTGGGCTGTGCCTGCCTCCCCGTGTGTGAGTCGAACGTAGTTCTAAAAGTCATCGAGGTTCTGTACTTAGCTTGCTAGCTGTGTTATTTTTTTCCCCTCGGACGACGAAGTCTGTACATAAACACATCAGGTCAGTACTTCCTCACCCCGTTTCCGTGTATTTTCTGGTCCAACAGCGGCTGATAAACACGCGTGAAAGTTGTTCAGGTGTTGTTCAGACGTTACTTGAGGTGAGGTGTTAGTTTAGCTCACTAGCTAACCAGCCCATATCGCTTGTGGTCTTAACCGCCGGCTCGCTGAACCGCTTTGGGCCTCGCTGCTAGCGTTACTTAGCAACTGATCACATCCCCCCCTCCATTTAAGCTGAAGAGGTGACCAGGCACCTCAGCGCCACAACACTATACGAAAATTCATTCGATACAGATGATTTTAGCTAACAATTACGTGTGCTGAGTGAATTTGTAGCAGCAGTGTGCCCTGCTGGAGCGCCGGTGACATTGCGGAGACTTTTGGACTTGTGGAATTTGCTCTTCAGTTTCTTAGCTTATGACACCTTTTTCTTTTGGGGGGCTATGTGGGAGATTTGGACGTGGACGTGTTGAACCTGTGTAGCGCTAATGTCTCCCATTCTTAGCGGAGAAGAGCTACCATTCAGCTAGCTGGTAAGGTGAGTTAGCTGACAGGACATTTTTAGAGCAGCGTTACCAGATGTGCCACCTCATCGACAGCTCCTTGGTCCGCTAGCCACTGGTAGGCAGAGGTGACAAGGCGAGTGTCGCTTACAGGCAAATTCGCTGACCTGACACAAAGATAACTGGGTATACAGCTCAGACACAGGGTGCAGTGTGTCAGTGAAGCTGCATTGAGAGGCAGGGGGCTGATGAATGCTATCTTTTTAACTGTAATGTTTGCAGTGCTGTAAGAACATATTAAAGAGGTAGGAAGTCTGTTTTTGGTCATTCGAGACCTTATTTATGTCTATTCACATTGGTATGAGCTAGAATCTGTGTAGGACAGGGGTGTGTCTGTAAAATGGCAGCAAGGTGAGGGTTGTTAAATTCAAAACAAGTGAAGTTAGAGGACACAGGATGCTTTTTTTTTGCCTACCTTTGTCAGTGCTAACAGGGGCCTGAATAATCCTCCCTGCAGATGTTTCCTCAAATAGGAAGAGCCAGCGCTTGACTTGGCCTTGAGATGACCAAAGCAGGAGAGAGAATGTGTGAGTCATGTCAGATAATGCACACATCTGAAGATGTAAAGGTGTTAGTTTATTGCTTATGGACGCAATAAAATGCACCCTACTTGGTCTTTGTTTGGGGCAGGAGTTTAAAGGGATACCTTGGCAGCTCGAATAGTGGAAATGGGCCTGATTTAGTTGTGAAGTCTCTGGCTAATATTAACCTTGTGGAAGACCATGTGGACTTGGTTAACCATTAACTCCTTCCAACTAGGAGTGAATATACTGAAGAATTTTAAGAACTTCTATCTGGACGTTAATTTGTTTTCATCCTGTTTTGTGTGGTGGAGGTGGAGGACAGTTAAATCATTTGTCAGAGCCATAACACTCATATCCAATACTTTAATGGACGCTGAGCATGCAAACGTATACAGTTGTGAAAATGGAAGTCATCTATGTTAATGGAGGTCTCTGAGAAGTCTCTGTTCTGCTTTACAAGCTACTGTCTACCTGTTTCTGTTTGTTTATTTACACCAGGGGAGAGAGAAAATCATACTACATGTGATATAATGTGAATCTAGTTAAGAATTATACTTTTTTTTGCATGCATCAGTGTATTAAATCTAATCTATTAAATCTAATAATAAAATTAAATAATAAAAGCTTTTGCAAAGCTTGAGTATTTGGTTTTTTTCCCAAGCTACAGATTAGACTGAGTCAGTGGCAAAAGATTAACATTACTGCTGTGGGAAATTCTTCACCGTGAAAGGATCATGTTCAGCTGACAGCATCAGCTCACCAATCAGAGCTGTAACATCCTCTGGTCAAGCTCATATGATTTTTGTGCTAGAGCTTTGTGGTTTTTCTGATAGAACTAACCTTTTGCTTTTAAAACTCTCTGCACAATGAATGTAACCTCTGCGTATTGTACCACGCGTTCATGGGTCAGTCAGACTAGAAAGTGCAGTCTTGCATAGACAGTCTTCAGCTATAATGGCTTTCCTGTTTTGCCTATTTTTGACCTGAGGGCTTGAGTCAGTCGTCACTCAAAGACACAGCAGGATAAAACTGGAGCACTGCTTTCAAACTGGGTCATGTCTGCTGATGGCCACCTTTCACTCTCTGCTGAGAAATATCTTGGAGGCTGCGTGAGAGCTTCCTTTCTTAAGTTGTTTAGGTAAACCTGTGTAGTGCAGCTCTTAGGCCCTTTTAGGAATGAAAGGTATGTTTGTGTGCTGCTGTTGAACAAGTCTTACATTTAATTTCTTTTCTTTGAAGACAAGCGTCTCGCCTGACTCCGAAGAGGTTCACGTCATAGTTTGTTTTGAAGTGAAAAACTTTTAACGCTCTCAGGAATTCGATACATACACAGCTTGTTTCATTGTCCTGGGACGTTTCAGATGTTTGCAGTCAATGATTACAGGAATAGCTACATATAATAAAATCATTTTCTTGACATTGTTCAAGTCATTGAGCTCCTTGTTTTCACTCATAACGTGACAATGTAAAGCCCAAGTACAGAATTAAGTGTCAGTACACTAAATGAAAACCCTTGTTTGTATACTGGTAGAATTTCATTATAAGCAAATTTCTTTGCAGATTACATACAAAAACGGCTGTGATAATTCCATACTTGTACAAACTGTGTCTCGGCTAGATGGGGACATATGCAGGGTCTTTCCCTGCCTAAGTGCATGTTAAAGGTCAGCAGATGTATAAAAACATTATGATTATGATTCCACAGTCTTTGCTTCAAGTAAGTGACAGACAATTTCTGTTAAAATGGAGCGTTCAGCCAATCTGCTTGTGTGCTGAGGTAATCTGACAAACAGGATAATCTGCTGCCTGTGGTCGTGTTTCTGCAGTAATCCAGTTTTATAAAAAGCTGCCAGCCAAGCCTTACATGTTGTTCGATGTCAGAATGATAGATTGAGAGAGACCCTCTGTGACACAGTATGTGCTCTGTGGTCAAGGTCACGCATTATCAGACGTTCAGATGGCACTACCACAGACTGCACGTTGGTCAGGCTGTGAAGGGGTATTTTTAGATCTAACTGTGATGTCGTGTATGCCGAGGAACTTGTTGTCATAACAAAATGCCTCCATTAACACAGCACTAAAAACAAAGTCTACAGATCATGGCTTGCAACTGGTGCACTGCTGTTTATTAGTTTAGTTAAAGAAATTAAATCAATTATTTAAATAAATTATTTTTGTCAAAGACAATAAGAGTTAAAGGCAGAGGATATTGGCAGAGGATATTGGCAGAAGGCACACAAGGGTTATTGACCAATGAGTAAAAATACTTTAGTAAAGGTTCACAAAATCAAGTAATGTTACTTGTTTTGTTTTTCCCTCTCTCTATCAACAGGGTCCTTTTTGCAAGAAGCGCTTTTTCTCCCTTCTCCCTTTTCCTCATTTTTTTTCATTTTTTTCCCCCCTTTTTTTGTTTATTAAATTTTGGTGCGGAGAGAGAAAAAGCATTGCAATCACAGAGCAGCAGGCAGTGGTTTTGATGGTCTGGGGTAGGTCTGTATCCAGGGACGAACACAAGCCTTGTGGTTCAGATCACAGGAGGAAACATGAGCACAGCCAAGCCCAGTGGCATAAAAGTGCCTAGCAAGATAGCTCGGCCACCTGGAACAGGAGCCCCCAAGACCAACCCCAGCACAGGTAGGAATACATGTCGAAACTCTTCAGCTGAGTAGCATTTGAATGCAGGTATAGCCTTATTTAAAACAATGTACATGTTTGGTGTTTTGTATGTGTGTGTGTGTGTGTGTTTTGTTTTTAAACTTACCATAAACATGAAAATTGATTCTTGAATAAATAATTAGTATATTCTTAATGCAAGATTTCCCTTTGATACCCCGTTAAGCAGCAAGACTTAAACAGATGACAGTACATTTATAGTGTTATATAAATATAAAAATTCGTTAACGCCATAACCGCAAACAGCAAACCTCTGTTAGCGAGTTAACGCAGATTGCGGAGCTGCAAGGCTTCAACGCTGTTAGCGCAGTTAGCTTGTTAATGCGTGCAGCCCCATGCATGAGGCGATCCGCGCTAACTCGCTAACGGAGATTTGCTGTGTTAATGCGGTTGTGGCTTAACGTCATTTTAACGAGACTAACGCTGACAGCACTAATAAAAATATATATATACAAGGGGTGTGCTGTGTTTGCTCTGCATTTGTGACGTGGCTCTCTGATTCAAATTAATAACTTGATGAGTTTTCTTAAAGTCTGCTCTCCCTCTCACCAAAATGCAGCTAAAACTGCTGTTGCAGACAAATCAGCTGCAAGTACCAGCTCTGGAGAGTCGGGGAATGTGGAGGAGAGCTTCCAGATTGGGGATCGAGTTTGGGTGAATGGAAATAAGCCGGGCTACATACAGTTTTTGGGAGAAACGCAGTTTGCCCCAGGACAGTGGGCGGGAATTGTTCTAGATGAGCCAATTGGGAAGAACGATGGGTCAGTAGCAGGCGTTCGATACTTTCAGTGTGAAGCCCTGCGAGGGATTTTTACCCGCCCCTCCAAGTTGTCTCGCACAGAAGGAGAGGCTAATGGAACTCAGACGGCACCGACGTCCCGCGCAGCATCACCCACTCCCTCAGTCGGAAGTGTAGCCACAAAAACAGCACTGCCTTCAAGTACTGCGACAGCCAAGAAGGCCTCAACAGCAACAACACCAGCTACCCCATCTTCCAATCTTGCAAGGACAAACAGTGAATCTGTCTCCAACCTCTCAGAGACTGGATCGGTCAAGAAGGGGGAACGGGAACTGAAGATTGGTGACCGTGTGTTGGTAAAGTTTCTATAAGTAGAAAAAATTTGCTTACAGTTTTCTTCCCTGAACATTTCAGCAAAGCTACAAAAATCTGAAGGTTCTCCCTTTTGTGTTTTAGCAATGTCAGCAGGGCCTTGAGAATCACATGACTCACGAAGCCCTCCTCCAGTTTTTGGGAAGCTAACAAATGAAATATGGTTGCTTTCACTTGTACTTTGAACCATTCACTTCTGAGTCAGTGAAGTAGTTTTAGTAACATAGTACAGTCACTCAGGTCTGCTTATAGATGTTGAGTGCATTGCTTCCTCCTTATGAATTCCTTTTTTCCCCGCACAATCACGAGGATGTGTAGCACATTAAGTAAAGAGGAAGTGTTACTCATGCCTGTTGGGCAGCAGAGGAAATATGCTCACCATTACCAAATTTAGTAAACTTCCAAACTATGCTTTTAAAATCATTTAGAAATTCTTTTATAAATAATTTATTATTATTAAACATTATTTTATAAATGATAAAAAATAAAATGTAATAAACACACACATACCCCACAATTCTGGCATGTTTGCATCTGTGGCTTTTATGGAATTATCTCCCTTGGGATTTATTAACAGGCAAAGCTGATTACTTTTTAGTCCCCTCTCATCTGTTAAGAGAATTAAATGTTGGCTAATCTTTGGTGTATTTCCTCTTAGGTTGGTGGTACAAAGGCAGGAGTGGTACGCTTCCTTGGAGAAACAGACTTTGCCAAAGGCGAGTGGTGTGGCGTGGAATTGGACGAGCCCCTAGGAAAGAATGATGGGGCAGTGGCAGGCACAAGGTACGGAAGCCACAAGATCTATAAACAAGTTGTGTGTAAACTCAACCACACTCCTCCTTTTATTGAACACTTTTATTATTGTGGTTGTATTCAGATATTTTCAGTGCCAGCCCAAGTATGGCTTATTTGCTCCAGTGCACAAAGTCACACGCATTGGCTTTCCTTCCACTACGCCTGCCAAAGCAAAAACAACCGTTCGGAAAGTGGTGGCCACCCCGGGGGGGCTGAAGAGGAGCCCCAGTGCCTCATCCATCAGTACCATGAGCTCTGTGGCATCTTCTGTTAGTGCTAAGCCGAGCCGCACAGGCCTGGTGAGACACACTTATTGAAAAACAAAACAAAACAAAGAACAACAACAGTGTATTACCTGTGGCATTATGGTGAGAGACACGCAGCAGTATGAACATGGTACCTGTCTCTCTTTCTACAGCTGACAGAGACATCCTCAAGGTATAATCGAAAGATTTCAGGCACCACAGCCCTGCAAGAGGCACTGAAGGAAAAGCAACAGCATATTGAGCAGCTCATGGCTGAGAGGGACATGGAGAGGGCAGAAGTTGCCAAGGCCACAAGCCATGTTGGAGAAATGGAGCAAGAAATTACCCTGCTAAGGGATGAGCATGAGCAGGTCAGCTCAGTCACTGAGCCTGAACTACAGTTAGAGTTTAGTATGTATTAATTTTATCTCTTTTAAATGTTTGTCTGTGATTTTGACAGATGGAAGCAAAGATGGATCAGTTGCGTGCCTTGGTAGAAGCTGCAGACAAAGACAAGGTGGAGCTGCTGAATCAGCTTGAGGAGGAGCGTAGGTGAGAGTGTGGGACTAGTTAAAGATGCTCATGAGAGTATATTAGGTCCTCTAGTTTCAATGTTGTGAGACACTGAAAGTGGGGTGAGAGCTTTGCTCCCAGTGCTGTTGTTTTACAGTCATAAGGTAATAAATTTGTTGTTGGCATCGCTCTTGATCACTGCAGTTTAGAGGTGGCTTGTGCCTCAGAGGAGTAAATATGTTTCTGTTAAATAGGAAGGTGGAGGACCTTCAGTTTCGTGTTGAGGAAGTTTCCATTACCAAAGGAGACCTGGAGGTAAATACACAGCACGGATACACACCGCTGACTTCATATCTAAATTTACACTTCAGACGCAGTGGGCTGCCCCATTCACCGTGCCCGAAATTCCAGGTTACATAAACCCACACAATAAAGGGATTTAAAACGTTGGTAAAGCTAGCAAAATTGGAGTAGCTACTCCAAGGTCCAGTTTGGTAAATTTTGAATTTCAAATAAAACAAATCTTCTCAACTAGAGTCCTATAATAGAATACGGAGCATAATATATCTATTTTAATCTTACATGAGATTCACACAAGTACAGTCAAGTCAATACAGTGTTTGCATTTAAACCTGCCCCCATTTCCATTAAATCACCAAATCTGACATGAAAGTGTTAGTTTTATGTAACCCCCAACTTAATGCAGACAGATAAATTATGTCATGATCATTTGTTATTGGGTTGGTTTTTTTGTTGTTGTTGTTTTTAGCAACTTGCATCCCAAGTTGCAATATTGAGAGTGCAGTAGCTCAGTAGTATATGTGTTTCTTTTCTAATTAAAAAATTTATTTATTCCACAGTGTTGCACAGGAAACCACCTCTGTTACTCTGAAGGCATCCTAGCTCAAAATAGATGTTTTATACTGTGGGCTACAGGGTTAGAAACTCAATTTTCCTTCTCTTTAAATGTGTGTACTAACAGTTGAAGCAGCAGATATTCATAAATAATTTTGTGTAGTTAAAAAAAATATGACCACCAAACTAAAAAATAATGTGTTAACTTCAAGCTGTTGAAGGTGTACTAATGTTGAGCTGTAACCCTCAGTAACCCTCCTTGTTCAGTGACGCGGTCTTATTGCTTCTTCTTCCTTCCCATGTTCGTCTTTCATGTTGGTCCAGTGCTCAGCATGGAACCACTGGAAATGCCCCCTTGTCTTTTCACTACCCAGTCACAGTCCTAATTTCTGAGCCTGCCCACTGCAACCAGGGAGGAATAACACCTATGATAAGAGTTAAAATGTAATTTAATATATGTGTTTTAGGTTTTCTAATAAAACCGGTCCAACGTCCATACCACTGACTGGATATGGTGTATCAGATTGCTAAATATTAGTTTATTTTATCCATTGTATTCAATGAAGACTGGGATAAACCATGGTCTACATACATTTAAAACTGGTGCTATTCCAATTTTCCAAACAGACCCTCTTTTTAACTTTTATTGTGTTTACATAAGATTAGAAGCAGAGCATTTTTCTAAGTAATGCTTTATTAAGCTTCCATAAAAATCTGTACTTGTAACACCAAAATACAGAGAAAGCCAGTGAGATCCTTTCTATTTCTTGAGCCTAAAATGTTTCTGTTACTGATTGATATCTGTTAAGTTGGTCACAAGTCTTGCACACGGTGGTCTGATAACTGCTGGTTTCTCACAACACTAAATATTTAAAGTGTGGACAGTGGCCTCATCACCAAAGAGAGAAAGCAGTGTAGGTATTGACAACACTAATTGCTGTATATAGAAAACCACAATAATAAATGTCTTAATATTGACTTCGTCTGGTAAAATCGGACATCTTCTGTATATTAACATACACCAACTTTGTGTTAGTGACACACAGGGATCAGGAAACTCCCAGTACTGCCTTCTCTCCACACCGTGGTGAAGTCATGTTAACTTGATTTTACTTGCTGGCTTGGCACACAGTATCAAATTTTCTGTGTATCATAACAGTCTGTGTGATTTGTTTACCAGGTGACATTTTTTTTGCATGGTTACTTCTAAACTGCTTCCATCAACATACTCATCCTGCACATCCATACTACATGCCCCCGTCGTCCGCTGCTTGTTGTTTTTTTTCTTTTTTCTTTCCCCCCACCGTTTCTTTACAAAAAAATCCCTATTTGCAGCTGTTTATGGCACAGCCTGAAAGTTCTGCATGGGGGTGTTTTCTCATTTCCACTCATCCACCACTATCCACACCCACCCAGTGTCCTTGCCTCAACCCTTCAAATACTCACTTGCACACAAAGACACACACACACACACACACACACACACTCACACACTCACACACACACTTTCACTGTCATCCCTATCCAACCCCTCCTTCCTTTCTCCTGTCTCCCTTCCTCTCTGTCTGCGTTGGGCTGGCATGTGATGGTGGCACTGGTGTGTTTTCTTCCTCTCCCCCTTGTTTACTAACAGACGCAGACCAGACTGGAGCATGCCCACATTAAGGAGCTTGAACAGAGCCTGCTCTTTGAAAAGACCAAAGCTGAGAAACTCCAAAGAGAGTTAGAAGACACTAGGGTAATGAATTCTGCTCTGCAGCGTGTTGCGTTGGGAAAAAGGCCTGTAGCCAAAAAATGTGCAGCAGTAACTGGACTCTTGCTGTATATGGGCTTGTGGTAAATGTACCCTACAGATGCATTTTTTCAGCTTTACATAAAACTAATAACCCTGATCTTAAAAACCAGATTAAATCATATACTAAAATATTAAACATCTTTGGTATGTTTAAAATACTAAATTAGTCTGCCCTGCTTACAGTTTGCAAATTAAATGTCAAAAGTATTAGTTTCTTTTGTCACACTTTATCAGATATTAAATTATCTCAAATTCACACTGGTCCACTCAAAATCTTTATATATTGAAAATATGGAGGTTTTGACCTCTAACCATGTGTATCTGACAGAGAGACACATGTTTACCTATATTTTCCAGCAGATGGTTTTGTGATATCACTGCTTAACCAGACAGACAAACTCCTCCCCAGCTTGTACCAAGCTAATCATTTTCCCAGTTATCCTATGCTCTCCTTTCCCGGTCCTTCCTGACATCCATTTGTCCCGCTTATTTGGTGTCCCTGCGTTTTGCCAGTTTAAAACCGGATCCACCTCCCAGACCAGTCCACCTACAGTGTTAGAGTCACAGTAAATGTATAGTTACGAGGAGGATTAGGCCTGTAGGTTTAAAACTGCACTATGTTAACAAAAAAAAAGAAAAAAAAAGTTTTGTACCAGAGCTTGATTGGTGTAAAAGTACTATAAAATATCAGGACTACCTGTGATGTTTTTAGTTTGTATGTCTGATAAATCATGACGTCAGTGAGGACACTTTCTAGTCTAATACTTGGTGGAAAATCTCTTGCACACTGCTGTAGCTCCATACATGCTTTCAGTGTTCACTTCCATTATCTGGATCATACCGTTTATAACCACAAGAGGTCAGTATAATGATTTATTTTTAACATCAAATGTTTTGTATCCTTCTCATTTAAAAAAGCAAATTGAGGAAAAAATCTCACCCAGTAATCACTTTAAATTACTTTAACAATTAGTTTTTCATTTATTTAGCAAAAGTTAGTTATTAAATAATCTTATTAATCCTTTTTTTTTAATGTACTAAGATATTTAGTAGGCTAGTTTGAGATACATTTTTAAATAAAAATTTCCCGCTTTTAAAGGTTGCTACTGTGTCAGAAAGATCCCGTATTATGGAACTTGAGAGGGACCTTGCACTTCGAACAAGAGAGGTGGCTGACCTGCAGCTGCGTCTTGGGGTCCAGCAGGGCTCTGAGGACTCAAACTCCACTCTTTCTCCCCTCCTGGAAGAAATAAACTCTCTGAGGGATCAGTTGGCTTCTCAGGAAACTAGTCATCAAGAAGAGCTGGGTAAATACAACGAGAAGCTAGAAGCTCAAGAAAAAATCCACAGTGATGCAGTTGCTCAGCTTCAGGCTACATCTGTGAGGCTCTCTGGTGACAAAGAGCAGCTGCAGATGCGCTTAAGTCAGGCAGAGAAGGAGAATGCTGACACTGTTGAACTGTGGCGTTCAAAGTTGGAGGCTGCCGTTGCCTCTCACCAGCAAGCCATGGAAGAGCTGAAGGTGTCCTTCAGCAAAGGTGCAGGTGCTCAGACAGAAGAACTTGTAGAAACCAAAAGTGCACTTGAGAAGCTGAAGTTGGAGCACAAGTCAGCTCTGGAGGAGGCCGACACCAAACACAAAGCTGAAGCCACGACATGGACTCAGGAGTTGAAGGCGCTGAAGGCACAGGTGCTGTCTCTGACTGAGGACAAAGAGCGACTGGAGGAGTCACTTCGGTCCAGTGTTGAAAAAACAGAAGAACAGCACCTGGTGGAGATGGAGGATGTTCTTGGAAAGCTTCATGCTGCTGAACTTAAGGTAAAGGAGCTTGAGGAGAAGGAAGCGACGCTAGCACAACAGGCTCAAGACAAGGATGGAGAAACCAAAGAACAGATGGGGGAAATGGTGGCTCTGCGGAGCAAAGTAGCACAAAGTAACCAGGAGCTTGTAGCTCTGAAAGCTCAGCTAGAGGAGGTACAGAGCCAAGGAGACAAGCAGGGTGCCAAGGTGGGTTCTTAGTAACTTCATGATCAATAAATGCTCCCTTTTTGTTATGTGCCATATTTTTCTCCTGGTGATGTGATTATCCTTGACTTGGTGTACCATTTTCATAAAATCATTGCTTTTTGTTTGTTATGCATTTCATTTGCATTTTATATGTTAAAGGTTGCTGAATTAAACTCTCAGTTGGAGGGCAAACAGCAGGAAGTCCTCTCTTTACAGCAGAGTCTGAATACTGTAAAGCAGGAGAAGGATACCCTGGAACAAGAACTTGGAGGCCTGGTGAGAACTGTGACTTAATTTTTGGTTTTGGAGATATTCTCCCCAAATTGTACCTCCCTTTTCCCCACAGTTTACCTTTATCTTATTTCTGTTATTTCTCTGCTGCAGTTTTTAATTTTTTGATATTTATTATTGTCACACAACAAATCCGCATGTATATCTGCAGTAAGCTAGTGTCAGCTACTATTTACTGATCCAGTGCGTTGAGCTCAGTATTGAACGCAGTTAAAACATTACATATTGGTAGTTTGTCTACTGTAGAAGTGTCATATAAAGAAACGTTTTCTAAACTTTGCCGACAGAAACAAAAGGTGGCTGAAAGCACAGAGGAGCAGACTACGTCATCAAAAACTATGCAAGGTAATCTGAGTCACTCTGTGTTCAGTTACCGAAATGTTTTCACATCCCATTTTCCCGTCATCTGCTGTCATTCTACGTTTTTAATGTGCAAAATCTTCTAGTATCAGTATAATTCTTTTGTTTGTTTTTTGTTTTGTTTTTGTAGAAACACTTGAGAAACTGAGTAAGAAAGAAGAGGAGTACACATCCTTGGCCCAAGAATCAGAGTCATTAAAAAGTCAGCTTGCTGGTAAGCTCATTATCATTTCATTGATCTATCTTTAAATATTGTGTGTGTGTACATTTTTTGTTTTAACAAAGTCATCTTTTTTATGTTTTTACAGGGCTGGAGAGGAAGATAAAGGCTTCAGATGAAAAGAACGAGCAGCTTTCAAAAGACAAAAACAAGCTGGAAAATGATATCTCTGATATGATGAAGGCATCAGGTGATAGTTCTGTGCAGCTGACCAAAATGAATGAAGAACTCATACAGAAAGAAAGGTACCACACTTTAATTTTCCATCATTAAATATGACCTGATTACAATGTTTACTCAGAAAGAGTCGGATACTTGTTTTTCTTTTGTTTTAGTCCACGTAATTTGTAATTTATCCGACTGCTCACTGCACATCCTCCTCTTCTTTTGTCATCACACAGGAGGCTAGAGGAGTTACAAAATCACCTAGCAGAGGAGAAGGAGAAGGTGGCACGCTTAAATGAACAACTCCAACAAGAAGTGTCCCACAAAGAGCACGAGCTCAAGGATACTAGAGAGACACATCAGACTGAAATAAATACCCTTCAGGAGAACATCACTACCTTGGTTAGTCACAAAAAATATGTTTTGATGTATATTTTGAGTACATATGTTGAGCTAGCATTTTCAATGCACACATCTATTTTTAGAAATGCTCACAGCATCTTTATTTCACTAACCACAAACACTTCATTTAATGTCAGAGCGGTTAACTTATGCCAGGAATTAATCAGCCTGTTCACTGGTGAACTCATAACTGCAAATGGAAACAGAGTGGACAGTCATCTTGCTCTACAAACTTTTTTCTTTACTTTTTTTTTCTTTTTTTAAACTGACCCTGAGCCTTTGGTTAACTTGAATCCTTTTATAAAGTAACATACTACTTATTACTCGATGTAAATGATTCCATTAAAAACATATTCTGTTTTTTTGTCTAATCATATAGACATAAGCTGCATCAAAACAAGGCGACAAAGATTTTATTGTTGTGTCCCTTTCTTGTTCCCTGTTCTTTAGGAGAAGACTGTTAAACAGGGTGAGACCTTGGTTGAGGAGCTCAAGGCCTCACAGGAGAAATCCCTCTCTCAGGTGTCTGAGCTCCATGCAAAGGAATTTGAAACACTGCAGAGTCAGGTTGACAAGTTTAAGCAGGAACTCTCCTCCTCCAAGGACAAAACCCAAGAGCTAGAGAAGATGGTGTCTGAACTGCAGCCATACAAAGAGCAGGCCCAGGTAAGTGCAAACACCTTCTGGTGCATTTTTATTTTTGGCAATTTGGTAGCCTCAAACATTAAAATGGTTGAAACGGAAACGATGAGGAAGATGTATTTAACTGTTTTGGGGTTTTTGTTGTTGTTGTTTATTTATGTTTTGCCATACACATTATTTGTTTTGAGTTGCTAATTTTCCCCTCACATTACAGTTAATAACAAGCCCTACAATCAAAGGCACCATGGGTTGCATGCTTGCAGGGATAGAGCTTATAAAATTCTGTCTGTATTTATAGATGGTTTATGGTTATTAGTGGAAAAACATTTGCATAAAGAGAAACGATTAGTTTTAAATGCTGTGCACATGGATCGCATGTTCACCTTCAGATGAATCTGGATTGCCATGGATTTAGAAAAGTTTTCAGACCATAAACTTTAAGAACTTCAGATCAGGATGACATGGATACAATTACAGACATAAACCCAAAATGACGAAGTTATTGCCTAAATTTATGAAGTCATAGTAAAAATCTGCTTGTTTTTTTTTCTTTTTTTAAAAAATTTGAACATTTTCACTTTTCAAAAAATTGATTTGTTTGTGTCAGTGCTCACTTAAAAAGTTTATTTTACCTTAATTAGTTGTGAGATGGATGGTTACAATTTTTTTTTATTTCTTTTGAGTTGCAATTTAAGCTTAGTGTACGCACAAATAAGGCAATCAAGATGTGATTCAAGACTTTGAAATCCAACAGTTGAACCAAAGTTAAGTATTGATGTGCTCTAACGTGTGTTTGTGAATTTTTCAGTTATGTTGCAAGTCAAGTTACTATATATCATTCTACACTCAGTAAAAGGTTAATAAATTTAAATTTTAAGGATAATTTTTGATACTTGGATACAAATACAACCACACGCTTCAGAATCAAGTCTGCAGTAGAGCAGGGCGATATGGCCAAAAATATTTATCACGATATATATTTGACAATTTGCGATAACGATATAACTGACGATATAATTGATGCAAGACAAAATACAACTCCACAACTTTACTAGTGCAAAAAAAAAAAACCCATTTTTTTTATATGCATTAAAGCTATATAAACATTTAACAGTGCAAATGCAAATTCCTTGCTGAAAGTTTAACCAAAAGGCCTTTCCAGTAGAAATGGGCTGACATATCCTGAGCATAACCATGTATAATATCCACTGAAGTTAAAAAGAGGTGCTTTGCAACATTAAACTGCAGTGTGCCAAATAAAAAAGTCAAATATGTATTTTTCGGACCATAAGGTGCACGGGATTATAAGGCACATTAAGCGAAACAAAGCAGTCAGATAAATCAAACTTTATTCAACTCATTCTTCTTGCTTCCTTCACTTCTGTACCATTGATTCATTAATGCTGTATTCTGTACACAGCTGCTCTATTCCCATGTTGTTGCAGTATATTAATGACTAACCTCGTATTGTGGAAGGATTATCTCAGTTGTTCTCCTGACTGAAGTTTGGTCTGTTTACAGCATCCTGCCATGCGATTGCATTTGTCCCTAACCACCAGGAACCCTCACCTTAACTTTTATCGGGGGGAAAAGTGTTAGCGTTCTGTTCTGTTTATGTTATGCTATCATAGCTGTGTCGCTAGCGATCACGTGGCACATCATTATATACCACCTAGCCCAACTTCACCAACCCTACAAACGTCACTGCTGTTTAGTTTCCTGTCTTCATTTATGTAGGAAGTGATAGCAGAGCAGTACGTTTGATTTTTTTCAGAAATCTCTCAGTCAGAACATGCTATATCATGCTTAGGTAACTAGCAAAACTAGCGAGCTAACTTCTGCTAGCTTCCTGCTAACTTCTAACTCCGTTAAATGTAATAAATTCTGTGCCATCAATCATATCTTGATTGCTTCATCTTAGATACACTGTTCAAGTCGTATTCAAAGAAAGCAGAAGTGAAAATGTTCTGCCTCTTATTTATATATGTATATCTTTTGAAAATCATTGTGGTGTAAGCTCTGGTTTGATCTTTTGCCATTTTTGATGCTTCTGCAGCTTAACCTTTCCATTTGCATATGACTGATATCCATATCTGCTTGGTTTATTTTGTATTCATTCATTCCTTGCTTTGGGTATTCCCCTCCCTTTTTTTCTGTCATCTTTTGTTTTCCCAGTGTTTTTCTGCTGAGCTTGACTCCTACAAGCATGACGTTGAACAGTTGTCCAAAAAACTGGAAAAGCAAAACCTAGATCTGGAAAATATGTATAAGGAAAGTGAGGATTTTAAGGCTGAGAAAGGCAAACTGGAGAAGCAGCTTTTAGATGTTCAGGCTAAGCTTTCTGCCCTTGAGATTATTCACCAGGAACTTTCAGTCCAGAATAAAGAACTGCTTACAACCAGAGAAAAGCTAACAAAACGCCAAGAGGAACTGCTCGCCACTAAGAAGCATTCAGATGTTTCAATGAATGAGGAACTCGACAAGCTCAAAAGCCTTCTTCTAGAAGCACAGACTGAAATCAAAGATCTGAAGCAAAGTAAAAGTGAATATCTGGCTCAAATTGAGGAGCTTCAAAGACAAAATGCAGAGAAGAATGATTCTATCCGAAAGCATCAACAGGACATTGAGCAAATTGAAGCAAAAAAGAAGCAGCTACTTGAGGATTATGAAAAAGTCTGCAAAGAGAGAAACCGGCTTGAAGAGGACCTTAATGAAAGCAAGTCAAGGCTGACGTATGAGAAGGACAATCTGATTTTGGAGAGAGATTCTGCTAGAAATGCTAAAAAGTCTCTTGATGCTAAGAATGCTGAGTTGCAGGCAAAACTGAAATCCTTGAACTTAGAAAAAGAAGATCTCACAATCAAGAACACCCAGCTTCAAGCCCTAGCAGAAACGCTGACAAAAGAGAAGGCAGAGATGTCCTCTGAAATCAGCGCAGTTGTGGAGGACAAAAAGAGCCTTCAGACTGTGAAGGAGGAGCTCCAGAATAAGCTTAGTATTACAAAGAAAGACATGGAGAGCTATATCCGTGAATGTGAAGAACTTAAAATCTCAAAAATGAGCTTGGCCCAGATGCTTGAAGAATTCAAGACAAGCAGTCAAGTGACTGATTCTGAAAGGATTCACTTGCTACAGGAGAAGGAAGACCTTCTTGCAATCCAAAGACAAACCTCTAACAAGAAAGAAGAGCTTCTCAGAGAGATACAAGAATTAAAGGAAAAGCTTCAAGTATTAACAGAACAGCTGACCCAGACCAGAGAGAAATTCGAAGAAATGTTAGCATCTGTTGAGCAAGAGAAGCAAGCGCTTCGTCTTCAGAATTCTGAAACGGAGATGGCTCTCCATGCTTTACGAAAAGAGAAGATGAGCCTGGATTCAGCGCTGGAGCAGCAGAACATGGACTATGAGCGTTTGGCTGGGGAGAAGGAAGAGTTAGAAGAGAAGCACACAAAGGCCGTATCTGACAAAAGTGCTCTTTCTCTCGAACGTGATAAGCTAGCTAGTGATATCCGAACAATCAGTGACCAACTGGATAGTTTCTCCAGAACTAATGTTAACCTTATTCAGGAGAAGAATCACTTATCAACAGTGCTGGAGGAAACCCAACTGCAAAAAAAAGAGTTTGAAGCCAAGTTGACTTCTTTGAAACTGGAAAACACTGACCTGCAAAATGAACTGAAGAAAAAGTCCTCTGATAATGAAATGCTTGAAAAGAGCAAAGCTGAACTCAGTGAAGAGCACAGTAAACTAAAACTGAATTTTGAGAAGGCTAACTCTGAGCTTGTTAATCAGGTAGAAAAACTGACAGAAGAACACAAACATCTTCAGTCCTTACAGACTGAGGCAGAGAGAAAAGTGCTGTCCTTGCAGAAGGAGAACCAGGAGCTGGTTCAGGAGATCCAGGAGTTGAAAAGTCAGATTAATTCAGTCTCTGATGCCAAGCGCGTACTTGAGACCCAGCTGCAGACTGAATCTAATGAGCGCAGTAAAGCGGTGTCTGACCACGATCATCTTTCCAAGCAAATTGAGGAACTACAGAGAGCTTTGTCCAAAGTTGCTCAGGAGAAAGAAGAGCTTTCATACAACTTCAGCAATGCTGAGGAGCAAAAGAAGGCCTTCATGGTGGATGTGGAGGCTTTGAAGGCACAACTGAAGCGCCAAGAGCAAGAAAATTCACAGTTGACAGAAGATAAAGACCAGTTATTATCGAAGCTTGAGGAGCTGGGCAGACAGATGACCTCACTGACCACAGAGAAGGATGAGCTGTTAGCCAGCCAGTGTAAACTAGAGCAGGGGATTTCTTCCCTCCAGACGGACCAGGAGAACTGGCTTGCAGAGCAATCAAAACTTCTTGAAGAGTTGAAGTGTTTGCAGGTTAGTCAGGAAAAACTACAGGTTGATGTTAAGGTCTTACAGACAGACAAAGAAACTTTGGAAAAGCAATATCAAGATGCTGTAGCCGAGGTATCTGCTTCCACTGCTGTAAAAGAAGAAATTTCCTCCAGCATCGCACATTTAACAGCTCAGAAGGATGCCCTCCAGGTGGAGAGGAATGAAGCCACCCAGCAAGTCAGGCAACTGGAATCACAGCTAAAAAATGCCATTTCTAAGCAACTTGAGGTATTGTCCTCCTGTAGAAATCACTGATTAACACACGTTAGAACGGCTGGGGCTATGTCACCCTCTCACTGCATGCCTGCTGGTTTGTCACACTGTCCCTCTGCTCTTTATGTCTTAACACTTTCCATTTACTAACCAGTGTTTACCTCTTTTAGCTCCCAGCCTTAGCCTGTGGGTTTATAACGTGATCTGATGTTGGGCAAAAATTCCTGTTGATCATATGGTTATATAGGTGTCAGGTGATCTGGGTCCTGCTCAATGATAAGTGAGAAATGCCATAACTTAAATAGTTGACTGTCTCTTCCACAAGACAATCAGCTGTCAATGTCCGTTCTGAGGCCACAGGATTTCAGTCTTTATGTACTAATTATGTTTCCTCATTGTGAAATCTTTGTTGTTCATTTTTAGGCACACTTGGATTGCAAAAACCTGAGGTCTGATAATTGTCGAGCTATTTGAGGAAATAATTTAACATGTAGTTAATTAAATTTTTTTAAAATTGCTGTCAAAACAAATCATGCATTACAAGTAGTTAAATCTGATCTGCGTATTTCAAATTCTAGTGTTTTGGTTAAAGTAATTTGGTGTCTGCTGCTTTTAATTTCAATCTGTTCTGATCATTTGCCATTTAGGCTGCAGAGGCCTCTGGCAAGACAGCCGAGGCTCTCGAACAGCTGACAAAAGAGAAGGCCGTGTTGATGCAGCAGAAGAATGAAGTCCAGTCTTTGCTGGACGAGCTGCAGACATCCAAGCAGGAGTTGGAAACACAGGTAAAAGATGGGATTTTGAAGAGAAACTTCTAATAATGTGGCTTTTTGTATAAAGTGATGGTGTGAAGTAAAAATCTTCTGATTGTATTTATCTCCACCTTTTGTTGTTTGTTTGTTTTTTAAAGCTGGAAAGGCTGAAGAAAGAGAACTCAAAGTATCAAGAAGACCTTAATGTATCCAAAGAGCAGCTTTGCACTGAAACTCAGAGGAGCAAAGGTTTATGCCAGGAAATGTGAGTACATCCTCATCCTCAACTGTTTTCTGTTACAGAAACATGTCATATTCATATTTTCAATCAACTAAATAGCATATTATTGTAAATATATGAAAAGCCAGTGTATGGTCTGTTTGAGTTGAAAAATTACTTGGATGAGTTGAACAACAATATTTTCCTCCAGTGAGGAGCTTAAAGCAGCGGTCTCTGTGAAGTCGCAATCCCTGCAGACGCTCCAGGATGAGAAAAACAGACTGACTGAGGAGCTCGATAATAAACACAGAGACCAGAGTGATGTTGTGAAGGTTTAAACTTTATTCTTTGGATACAGCGACACACATGATTCTGATTTTTAAATTCAGCTGACAGTGACTGAATAATAACCGTTTTGTGGTTTTGTTTTGTTTTTTGTTTTGTTTTTTTTCCTTTGCCAGCTTAAGGATGAGCGCTCAAAGCTCAAAAAACAGTTGGAAGAATTGAAGCAAAGGTAAAATTATTCGCACCTGCATTATGTGATTCACGCAAAGTGGACCTCATATGTTTTTCTTTTGTTTCATGAAATGTTTGTTTTTAATAATCAGACCACTTACAAATATGTAGTAAACATCACTTTATGATTCTTGCTTTTGCAGGAAAAGTTTAAAAAAATCTTCTACTTAATTTGATATTTCTTTACACTTCCCTCATATACACCTTTTACCAGAAATGTATATAGACTCTGGTTTGTACAGCTTGTGATTGACTAAATCCACACTAATATTAATAATATTATCATTTGAATATTCAGAGAAACAACATTGCTATAATCTTGCTGCATAACTTTTTAATATCCACCCTCATATTACTGATATGACAGATGCATTTGAGAGGTGGTGCCCAGCCACCAGGTTCAAAACAAGCCTAGATGCAGCCAGTGACAGAAAGTAAAATATTAAAATTCAAATAGTAGCCGAATTAGCTTCTTTTCTTTCTTTCTTTTTTTTTTGTCATACAGACAACTGAGGAAATCTATTGTTTCACAGTGCAAGATAATGATTGATCATTTGAAGTGTTGATCATTGAAAGCTACTTTAGTAGAGTGCAAGATAAAAATGTGGCGCTGGGAATGAGGAGGTCCACTTTAAAGCCTTTTATAAACAGCATAAGCACGAATGACTTCAGCTACTAAACATCTGAACTGATGAATAAGTGAATATGCTCTTCCTTTCCTTTAAAGCCTGCCAAATAATGCCTTCAGGTACTTAATGCTTTTCAATATTACTCCATGTCAGTCATGTCACAGCGTAAATATACATTCACTGGCCAATTCATTAGGTACAAACTGAGCATCAGAATGAGGAAGAAAGGTGTTTTAAGTGACTTTGAACATGGTATGGTTGTTGGTCTGAGTATTTAAACAAACAAAACAAACAAAAAAACCTGCTGTTCTGCTGTGATTTTCTCACCCAGCCATCTCTATAAGATTGATTTATTTTTTTTAACAAAAAGGGAAAATATCCAGTTAGCAGCAATTCTCGCGATGAAAATTCCTTTTTTCTTCCAGAGGAGAAAGACCACACAGCTTTAAGATGATGGAAGGGTAACAGTAATTCAAATAACTATTTGCTACAAGCAAGGTATGCAGAAGAGTGCCTCTGAACACGTCGAACCTTGAAGCTGATGGTCTACAGCAGCACAAGACCACACTAGGTGTCACTCTAGTCAGCTAAGAACGGGAAACTGAGAAAACTTGCACAGACTCAACAAAATTAGACAATAGAATGGGGGGGAAAACACTGCTTGGTCTGAGTCTGAATTTCTGCTGGAAAAATTCAGAATGTAGGATCAGAATTTGGTGCAAAAATCATAAAAACATGGATCCATCCTGCCTTGCATCAGCAGTTCAGTTTGGTGACGGTGGCGTAATGGTGTGGAGGATATTTTCTCGGCACACTTTGGGCCCCTTGCTACCAAGTGGGCATCGTTTAAACACCACAGCCTGTCTGAGTGTTGTTGCTGACCATGTGCATCACTTTATGACCACAGTGTACCAGTTTACTGATGGCTGCTTTCAGTGTGACAGCACCATGTCACAATACTCAAATAATCTCCAACTGCTTTCTTGAACATGACAGTGAGCTCCTTTTGGATGTGGTGGGAAAGAGATTAGCATCATGGATGTGCAGCAACACATATTCCAGCCACATTTTGAATATGTGCCACTAAGAATTAACACAGCTTTGAAGACACAAGGGAGTCCAACCTGGTACTAGCAAGGTGTACCTAATGAACTGGCTTGTGAGTGTATATTGACCACATTTCTATAAACCTGTACAAGACACTAATGCTTGTAATTTATCCTACAGCTCCATCCCACCTGCATGACATGTTGTTTGTACTGGATCTCAGTTTTAGCGTTGTCTTCAGTACATTTGCTGTCTTCCAATTAGAAAATTTTGTCCATAGAAATAAACTTTCTCCATTTGTCTCCTGAAATAGTGAGAGCGCCTTGAAGGAACAGCTGGATAAGGAGAAGGCTGCCCTCCAACAGTCCATCCATAAAAACGGTGCCTTAATCTCAGAAAAGGACCAGCAGGTGGAAAACCTCAAGAGTGAGGTAATTTATTTTAAGTTGTTATAGCAAATCACAGCCAGGGGAAGGATGTTGTTACATAATTCTGAAGCACAAACTTTTTTATCTGATTGTTGCTGCAATTCCAAGTGTTTGCTCCAAGGAACATTTTTATGTCAGCTGGCTGTTAAATGCCATGTGTGGGTTTCAGTGTTATTTCTCTGTCACAGTTGGTATAGCTTTTAATTGAAGGTTCGAGGCACATTTCTTGAAATTCAGTGGCTAGAAACAGGAAGTTACTTCTAGGTCATAAAGTATGGCCACGCTTTCTGCTTAAAAATGAAACTTGAAAGTGCATCCGTGAAATGCAAGAAACATCTGGAGGTGGTGACACATTTCTGTTATGCTTTTATCTTCTTATTTTGAATATACTCTCAAATCTTGGGTTGGAGATTGGCTGAGATTGTATTTGTACAATGTTTGTTTATTTTGTACTATAATGCTGAAAAGAAACGTTTCAGTAATTTAATATCAAGGGTTGTTTTGTTTTGTGTTTTTCATCATAGCTGGCTGTAGTACGTGGGGAAAGTGCCTCAGTTAAGACACTGCAGGGTACAATTCAATCCTTGGAGCAGGACAAAGCTACTCTACAGGCGCGTGTGCAGAGACTGGAGAAGGATCTGACCATCGGGCCCATTGGTAAGTTCTCGGGCACAACAGTGCACAGTTTCAACATAGCCAGACTTTCTTTGTGTCACCTGGCTCAGATAATTGATATCAGAATGGTTTTCTTTTGGCCTCTGCTTCAGGCTATG